AATATAACACAACTCTGACACCTCATGAGCATCAAATGATGGGAGTCCAAACAATTAAAGGGAAGCAAGCAACAAGAATCAACCAAATAATGGGGAGTCCTAATTAATGGATTCAAAGCAAATTAAGGTCAACAATTGATAGAATCAGACATACAGGGAGTCAGCAATTAATGGGAATCAAACAATTATAAGAATCAAACGCGAACAAAATAACTTTCTCGGCAGTGGCCTGAGGGAAAGGTTCACGGAACCACGGTGATGCCACGCTCAGGTTAGAAACGTCCACTTCAGCTCCAACCAGCGGCGTCTTGTGAAGAGCAGGAGAACACCAGAACACCCGACGGAATGTGGTATACGATGGTAAATGACCAAGAGTTGGCGGTTATTGGTGAGTCTGGGAGCTTTAACCTGAGTCCAGGACCTATGATGGGAATCACAACCAGGGTAGCGGACATGAGGTAGCTAGATACTGTGGTATATAACGTGGGTTGAAATCTGCGGTGGCAGGTAGTCGCTGCCCGTTCTCACCTCAATCCAACCACCCCAAATGTCGTCTGCACCAGCGCGAGTTAGCAGCGGTAACCGGCGGATCGTTCCGCCCTTGCCGTATTAATGGTTATTGCTCATTTTCAAAACATTAATTCAATATAAAAACATTCAGTAATAAACAACAATGAATCTTTCAAAAGAAATGGCGCTGTTTACGATTGCGTCGTCTGCGTTGGCGGGCCGTTCAACCGTCGAAATTCAAGGTTTCGCCGTCAAAATTTTATTTATTTATTTTTGTGTGTTCAATAAAATCGTTGAGAATACTTCGCAATTTGAAAAGCTACTATCGACATTTAATCCTTCAATATGTCTTCAAAAAGACCATGGCCCTAGAGAAAGTGGTGCTAGTGCTTCCAGCATGCACAATTCACTATCTATCCAGGAAAGGGTGAATTTCCATGGTCGGCACCCAAGTCGAGGTTGCGGACTAGAAAGTACAACCTGTGTATTATTATTATTATTATTATTATTATTATTATTATTATTATTATTATTATTATTACTACTGTACCTGTATTGCATTTTCACCCCCCCAGGTGAAATCCGAAAAATTCCGAAATCCGAAACACAGCTGGCCCCAAGGATTTCGGATAAGGGATTGTCAACCTGGGCCCTACTGTATTCTTATCTAGGCATGCTGTTCGGATGTTATACAAGAGCTGATCCAGGGGGGGAGGTCCTGGGGGTCCGGACCCCCCCTTTTCACCAGAAAATTCCAATACAGTACTTTTTCTTTAATGCAGTATAGTTCTCAGGCATTTTTGTATACGTACAGGTAGTTCTGCTATAACGCGATAATTGTGTTCTTGTAAAATATCGTGTTATAGAAAATCGCGTAATAGAAATAACAGGGCTTATGGAGAAAATAGGGTTAGGTGCAGATTACTCGAAATCGAAAAAATTTAGTAGTTAGCCTAACACAAAGGATAGCACAGTCTAAATAAATGTTACATTCATATCTAATAATGAAATCATACAGTAAATGTAACACTTTACTTGATGGGGGAGAAGGGTGATTTTGAGGTTGATAAAATCGAGCTTCTCTTCAAGTGTTATATCCTTTCTTTTACGATCATCACCGGGAATTCTATCACCAGAACGCTTCTTGTTGATATTCTTCTTTACTATATTCACAGTTAATACTGTACCACAAAATTGGAGAAAGAGTAAGCAAAAATCGCGTTATAGCAAACAAGCGTTCGCGTTATACAAATATCGTTCCTAATTCATAAATCGCGTTAGAGCAAATTCGCGTTATCAAAACACGCGTTATAGCAGAACTCACTGTAGTAAAAAGTATTTGCTATTGACTTCAGAATATCTCCTAATATTAAGTGTTCATGGCTTCAAAATGGCCTCAAATTGCCCAAGATATTGGTCAGATTTAAAAAAAATTAAGGGGAGGGCTTACAGGACCCCCCTCTCCTCCCCCCCCCTCCCTCCCCCCAAAAATCCCCAGCTGGGTGTGCTCGATGCACTCGCCATGTTCCCTCACCCACAATTTCTTGGACCCCTCCTTTGGATATTCCTGGATCCGCCCCTGTTATTAGGGCTCTATATCACACAGTCCTCAGACAAATTTGTTACAGAGATTCTGTGACTAACCATTTTGGATTTCTGATAATTAAGTGTAGTAGGTATTAGGCAGCTATCAAACTAGGAGGTACTACTGCCTGGGAAGATATTGGAAGCTAAATATGTTGTCTAATGGTAGACCCTGCTGCAGGGTTGTTATGATTTAAATCAAATGATTTAAATCACATGATTTAAATCGATTTAAATCAGAGTAAAAAAAAATCATGATTTAAATCAAAATGATTTTTTTACTAATACCCTGTAGCTGTTTTCTCTTTTTATTCTACATTATTGAAAAGTATATGCAATGCAGCAGGCTAATAACATTATTTGGATTTACATAATTATGTACAGTACTCCCTCTTTATCGACGGGGGTTACGTTCTGCAAACGGCCGTCGATAAAGAAACCGTCGATACGGTGATGGTTACGTAATTTTTCTAACTATTATTAGCATATGTTGAATAAATGTACCTTTGAGCATTAATGCGTTTCCTTTACACATAACCTTAAATAATAGTGTATAAATAATAATATAATAAGTGGACAAAAATACTAGCAAACTTACGATTTCATTTATTGAAGTGAACATCGGTCCTTACAGTAAACAAAACAGTGTACAGTACAGTAAAAGTCCAAAAATCCGGATGCCCAAGGCAAATTGTTTACCATTTATTATTACAACACTTTACACTGAAACGCGGGTAGTTTCAACAAAAATATTGTATATTTCCATTCAAGTATTTATTCAAGTCAATTAGGAGGGAATATTATTGTAATACAACAGTTTTTTAACTAAACCATTCGAAAAGTGATTACGGTAACATCTTTTGAACGAAAGAAAGTGAGTCATTGTTTTCGTCACGATTTGATCCCACTTTCCACTTTAATACGTACGTCATTTTAGCAAAAATATTACATTTCCGTGAATGTATTATATCAAGCACAGTATGAATAGAATATCATTGTAATATAACAGAATTTTAACCGAAAACTATTAAAAAAACGAGTAACATCTCAAGAACATCGGAAGCTTAGGTAAAGTCTTTTGTTTCCGTCATGTATTTTATCCTATTTTACATTGAAATATGTCACGTTTCAGCAAAACTACTATTTATTTCCGAGAATATATTCATTCAGGCGAAGTTTAGGTAAAATATACGTGTGATGTAATAATTTTTTAACTGAAAACGATTCGAAAAACACTTACCCTCTAGCCCTGTTCAAGGAGAGGACTGGGAGAAGCT